CCCCCTCTCTCTCCCGGTTACATTGGGAAAGGCATGGCTTCCCATCTCCCGCGGCCAAGAGAGGGAGGGAGCGTCAGTGTTCAGTCCCTGCTGCTGAGACCGGGGAAGGGAGGTACCGGAGGGGGTCGGAGTGCAAGCGCGGTCTCCCGATTTAAGGCAGGCCCAGCAAAACCCTCAACCTGCACGCCCTGAGAAGAGGGCGAAAGGGAGCCCAAGCTCCCCCAACAGCGCCCCCGCTGCCCCTCGGCTATCGTCTCCCCCTCCCTCCCTCCTCCTCTTCCTCCCGGCCTCCTCTTCCTCCTCTCGGTCCAGCCGGGCCTCGTCTTCCCACCGCCGCTTGCTTGCTTGCCTGCCGGCCAGTCCGGTCTGCAGAGCGCTGACCTGGGCCTCGCTGTTCTGCGAGGCGGCTGCTTCAGGCGGGTGGCGCAAGCGGCAGGAATGGGCAGCCAGGCGCCGCGGCCTTGAGCCAGAGCAGCAGGCAGGCGGGGAGCAAGGCGGCGGCGGCGGCGAGAGCATTAGCAAAAGTAGCGGGAGGCTGTGGGGCGGGAACTGAGGCTTCGGAAAGGTGAAGCAGGGGAGGATGGGGGGAGCGCGCCATGCATCGCTTCTGGTCCCTTGCCACCTGAGGTCGTCACCTGGTCCACATGCCTAATAGCTGGGCCGGCCCTGGAGGAGACAGGGAAGTTAAACAGAGGCCTCTGCAAGGAGGGCAAAGGGAACCGTGCCCTTAGGCAGAGTGAAATGGCCGCCTCAGAGCTTGAACCGGATCGTCCCTCCAACTTGGGAGGGTCTTCGCTAGCAGAGTCTCACTTCTTTGCCCGTCCCTGCACCGCGTGCTTCACACACGCCCTGCTGCTGACCTCGCCTCGCTCCTTTTGCTATCATTGCTGTTCACTCGCTTATCTAGGTAGAAGGCTGCTGCCCTCACAGAGTGGCAAGCAAAGGGGCAGGCAGGCAGGCAAGCGGCAGGGGTGGCTGGCCCATTAAGTCGAGTGGGATGCTGCGTTCCTGGTCGGCTCACCCGAGATTTCGTCAAATGCGTGAAAACTCCATCCATTGCCTACTTCTTGCCTGAGGCCGGTGTACCTTTGCTGTCCTTTTGCTGGGCTCCCGGCCATGTAGAGTGTGCGTGCATGTGTGGGAGGGGGGAGAAGAAGTAACATGGAGGAATATTTCCAGCATATGGTGTTTTCGTGTTCCTCTCCTGAATTGTAGAGTGTATGAAGAGGGTGGGGTGAGGCAGTTCCTAGTGAATGCCTGCTTCCATGTGTATGTGTGAATGCTTACTCACCTTCCTTGCCTCTGCATATATGTATCTGAGAATAGGTGTGCATGACTCTAAAGTTTTGTCTCTGCCTGTTTTGCTGGATGTGCTTACAATTGGCTGCTATACTATTTGCCCCACCAGCCACAACAGTAGCCAACACTGGCAAGGAGATGAAGTGCAGCAAGGAGTCATCAATGGCCAGCTGTCAGGGAGGGGAGGAGGAGAAGTTGAAGAGGAGTCTAAAGCAGAGTTTGAGGCAGGAGGAGCACTTTTGCCTCCAGTGGCCAGAAGACTTGGCTGCTGTCAGACAGGCCCTGCTGCTGTCTCCTGCCCCTCACTTACATGTTGCTTGTGTCTACTTTCCCTCCGGCATGGTGGAGAACATAAAGCCCGGAGGGCTACATGCAGAGAAAGCAGGAAGGCAACTGTGGCTGCAGCTGCACTGATAGGCTCAATTGCTCTGATTCAGCTTTGCTGCAGTTCGATTCACAGCCTGTATTATGACTGAATTCACAGTCAGTGATCACACAGGGGCTGTAGATTGATTCTGGAGTTCACTGTTCACACTTGATGTGATGCAATTCACTTTCAGCCCACAGCCCACCCACGCTTCATTTCTTCCTTCTTCTGGTCCCACCTCTGCTGGTCTTTTATGGTTTGCTATCATTATGGTTTTGAAAGGGCTGTACAGTGTTCCAGAAAAGGTGGGAGTGTTCCAAACTTCTTAATGTGTATAGAAATGCCACAGTTAAGTCATGTCTGACTCTTCGTGACCCCATGGACCAGAGCACGTCAGGCCCTTCTGTCTTCCACTGCCTCCCAGAGTTTGGTCAGATTCATGTTGATCCCTTCAATGACACTGTCCAACCATATCATCCTCTTTCATCCCCTTCTCCTCTTGCCTTCACACTTTACCAACGTCAGGGTCTTTTCCAGGGAGTCTTCTCTTCTCATGAGATGGCCGAAGTATTGGAGCCTCAGCTTCAGGATTTGTCCTTCCAGTGAGCACTCAGGGTTGATTTCCTTCAGAATGGTTTGTTCTCCTTGCAGTCCAGGGGACTCTCAAGCGTCTCCTCCAGCACCACAATTCAAAAGCATTAGTTCTTCGGCGGTCAGCCTTCTTTATGGTCTAGCTCTCAGTTCCATACATTGCTACTGGAAAAACCATAGCTTTGACTATGCAGACCTTTGTCGGCAAGGTGATGTCTTTGTTTTTAAAGATGCTGTCTATGTTTGTCATCGCTTTCCTCCCAAGAAGCAGGAGTCTTTGAATTTTGTGGCTGCTGTCGCCATCTGCAGTGATCATGGAGTCCAAGAAAGCAAAACTGCCTCCATATCTTCCCCTTCTATTTGCCTGGAGGTGATGGGATCAGTGGCCATGATCTTAGGTGTTTGTTGTTGCAGTAGTTGTTGTCGTTGTTTTGTTGTTCAGCTTCAGACTATTTTTGGCACTCTCCTCTTTCACCCTCATTAAGAGGTTCTTTCATTCCTCCTCACTTTCTGCCATCAGAATGGTATCCTCTGTATATCTGAGGTTGTTGATATTTCTTCTGGCAATCTTAATTCTGGCTTGGGATTCATCCAGTCCAGCCTTTCTCATGATGTATTTTGCATATACAGCCTTGTCGTACTCCTTTCCCAATTTTGAACCAATCAGTTGTTCCATATCCAGTTCTAACTGTTGCTTCCGGTCCCGCATATAGATTTCTCAGGAGATAGATAAGGTGGTCAGGCACGCCCATTTCTTTAAGGATTTGTCATAGTTTGCTGTGGTTGACACAATACAAGGCTTTTGCGTAGTCAATGAAGCAGAAGTAGATGTTTTTCTGGAACTCTCTAGCTTTCTCCATAATCCAGTGCATATTTGGCCTCTAGTTCCTCTGCCCCTTTGACATCCAGCTTGTACTTCTGGGAGTTCTTGGTCCACATACTGCTGAAGCCTACCTTGTAGGATTTTGAGCATAACCTTGCTAGCATGTGAAATGAGTGCAATAACAGGCTACATTGCTGTTTAATTTTGTATTGATTCATTTTTTGTACTACTTCTTGGGGCAATCAGGCCCCCGCTTGTCCTTTTTTTTAAGAACAAAAGTGGTATATCAGTAGAGTAATAGACCAGTATGAGCCTTCTCTCCTCCTCCCCTTTTTCCTTCCCTCCTTTACTCATTGTATCCCCTTTCCCTTATTTCTCTGCATATCTCTCCATCTCAGTTCTTGGCTTTCATTTTTTCCCCTGTTTTGCATAGTGTCGGGAGGAAGAAGCACAATATGAAGAGCAGGCTTTTAAAAAGAGAGAGTAGATGTTAATCCTACACCCCTTTCTTTAAAATTCAAGCAGGAAATGTCTCTCTTTCAAGCCCTCTTTCACTTGCAAGGGAGGGGAGACAGTGAACCATCTTCTTATTAATGTATTCATGTTGTTTTTGCTAGTAGCAGCAGCAGGTTCTAGCAATTTACCAATATCCCTTTAAATATATAGATATATATTTAGAAAGGGTAAAAGTGCAGAGGCCGTGCATTGGCCACAGCACCAAAAATCCTTAACCCTTCACAAAGGAAATAAATTGGCAGCAATGTTCACACATACTGAAACAATAAGGAATGAAGTGATATATCATTGGTATAATTTAAAACAACCCTCTTGGTGAGGGAGAAATAAATAAATTGCCAGGGCAAATTAATCAATGTTAGCCATGCAGCATGTGAATGGAAAATGATGAAAAGATCTAAAAAATGGCCAAATCAGTATAACTGGGGTTATACTGTGATCGAGCCCTTACTTATATTTTGAATAGATTTAAGGAGATAAACGGAATGAGTTAGTTATGAATGGTGTATCATCATCATCATCATCATTTATTGTCATTGAACAGTATAAACATGCAATGAATTTCACAAAGAACACTCAGAAACCAGAACAAAACACGCACAGCCCCATAACAATCCTAAAACCCAGAAGCCCACCTAAGAGCACACAGTATCCACACAACATACAACACAACAGACCAAGTAATAGTCATACTCATTTATTTCAGTATAACTATTTTAGTTATGACCCTAGAACCAAACCATACTACATGACACCAAATGGCTCTGCACTGTCCCTTATCTTGACTGGATAATGTACTGCTATGAATGGAATTGACAGTCTTCTCTGATCACTGATGCACATAAGAGTGGGGAATCATCTCTCTACTAACTCCTCCAGAGTGTGGAATTTGATGGGTTGGGGGAGAGGAGAGGCTTGGTGGAAGCTTCCACAAGCTGAAGATTCCCCACTACTGCTGTAAGCACTACATTAGATCAAGTAATGTTTGCCTCTTTTGCTAGTATCTTGCTGTAAAAACAATGGGTAGCATTTGGAATAAAAAGGACAATTTTCGAAGTACTGTAACACCATCTTACTAGTACCATTCAACCCAAACAAGTAAGCTTAAGATGTTTCTAAGAGTTCATTATCATCGTAAAGTTAAGATTATTTTAGAAGTAAATTTGAGAAAAAGGGAATGTTAACCTATAACATTTCCAAAGCAAAGTAATTTAGAAAATCCTAAAGGTTATACATTTTTGCTAGGGTTACCTACACAAAATTAGGTATGTTTTGAATTACAGCAGGACCTGTTGCAAACACAAGTGAAACATTAAGTCCATAAATTATTACTTAAATGAGGAAAATGCAAATAATAGAGATAGAATTAGTTTTATTGTTAGAATTTGCAGAACTGTCAACGTGCAAATGATACATATATGCATGTGTTTTGTAAAACAATGTTCTGAAAAAAGCAATGTATCAAATCTAATGTATCAAATGTATGTATCAAATCAATGTATCACATTAGTTAAAGGGGCAAAGCAGAGCAGAAAGCAAAATACTCTCTTTTGGAATGGTTGGCAGCTTTTAAAAATTCCTCCTGGGTTATCACAATTTTAAAATAATTATCTTTAATTAAAATAAATAACCTTGATAAATCTTAATATGAAAGCTTATATTTTCAATAAAATTAAAAAAATGACAGGTATTTGAAAAATAAGATTAATTAGTTATAGTAAAGAAATACATATGGTTATTATAGCACTGAAACAGTATGATGGTTTGGCAACTAATTTTTAGCAAAAAAAGTGTGTGTGTGTGTGTGTGTGTGTGTGTGTTTAGCAAAAAAAGTAAGTGTGTGTGTGTGATAAATAAGAAACTGTGAGGTTCTTGTTTAGAAGCTAGCATACTCCCAAGTTACTTCTATAGATAAATACCATTTTAAAATAATGGCCATAACACATTTAAAAACAATATTGACAAATCATTTAAATCAGTATTACATAAATATATTCCATGATAATAAGTTTTTATTCAACAGAAGAATGCCCACCATTTTAAGTTTTACATTTACATATGAACTTCTACATTTAACTGATAGTATTAGTCAAACTTTTCAGATGCTGAAAACACTTTTGACAATATTATTTCAAGTCATAAAGACTTTTTAAAATGTCTGATGTCTACAATGCAAACCAAAATTTATACATTTGTATCCTAAAATTAAAGTAGTAACAAACTGACATATTTCCCATCTGCTTACACTATCGAAAAGTACCTCGCAGATATTTCTTCTGTCTCTTCCCTTATTAATGATAACCGTGAATATTAGCTATATAGAGCTGATTTTTTTAAAATGATCACTGGATTCTCATTTAGTAATAAAGACAGAATAAGATTGATTTCAATGCTGATTATAAAGCCTATGGGAGCAATCCCACACTCCCTTGAGAGATTGTTCTGGCTATATTGGTTGCATTTGCAGGCTTCCTTCACCCACAGAGGAAGGTCTGACCATCTACAAAGATTTTCTATGGATGGGAATGGAAAGCTTCACCTGCATCAATGCCCCACCACAGCAGCTCCACTTGCAGGGGTGGGGATGGAATAGAAAGGTGTGTGTTTGGAACATGCCCAGGCATTGGAGGCTGGTGCCCATTGTGGTTAGTGGGCACAAGGCACTGCTACTAGCAGTACACAGGCCTGGGACAAAAGTGGATATTCACAGACAGACACAACCAGAAGTCACACACAAACACACACACAAGCCACCTCCCTATGATAACAGCAGGAATGGTATGGCTGCAGGTAGTCTGAGCCTAAAACAGAACAGTGGCCCACAACAGATGAGCCTCTGCTATGTCCAGAGGGGCTTGGGGGAGGCTTTGGAACTCTTCTATGGAAAGATCTTTCAAGATCCCAGAAAGTGTGAAAAGGTCTGTCATCTCCAGGGAAATTATTGGCAATGTAAATGAAAAAGAGCAAAACCCAGTAAAGAAAAGGAAAGGGAGGGGGGAAAACACTGCTCAAAACCTATTTCTGGCACAGTGATTCCAAGTTTTAGTCTCTTGTTCTGCTGGATTCAAGTCAGAAAGTTTAATAATACAGTCTTTCTAGAAGTGCTCTTGAAATTTGAATCGTATAAGTGTCATTTTCAAAGTACTGAAACATCTGATTTGTTAAAGCCACAAAGGATTAACTGATTTTACAAATTAGCTTAAGGCCTTTGTAGGCCATTACTATTCCAGAAAGTCTAAACTTGCAGTGTTGTAACAGATGAGCAGCTAGAGCCAAGACCAGCAGTCCCAGATCTCCTTGTCTCTCCATCAGCATTTAGTACTACTCGTACCAAACAGTTCCCTTGCCTTCCCAGGCTCTAATTTGTGTTCGGGCATTAGAAGATGTCCATACATTTACTTTGCTGGTCTCGTTGTTGAGGTGGATATCTCTGAGGAAAACCAGTTTTGGAAAAGAAATACAAAGGTATTTCTTTATCTTAACATCTTTTTTTCTTTAGCTTAACATCTAGTTCCTTTACAAATGTTGAAAAATATTTCTCTGTGGGAACAATAATTATACCAGTTTTAGTAGCCAGTAATCTTCATTACCTGTCCACTTAAGCTTTTTATTTTTGCAAGGATAAAGCCACAAGGAAAATTGACTGAGCACTTAAAATTCAGCATAAATCATGAACTAGGTAAAAGGTAAAGGCTCCCCTTGACATTTAGTCCAGCCGTGTCCAACTCTACCGGGTGGTGCTCATCCCGTTTCCAAGCCATAGAGCCAGCTTGTCTGTAGATAGTTTCCATGGTAACGTGGCCAGCACGACTAGACCTGGAACGCTGTTACCTTCCCACCGTGGTGGTACCTATTTATATGCTCGCATTTACATGCTTTCAAACTGCGAGGTTGGCGGGAGCTGGGACAAGCGGTGGGAGCTCACTCTGCTGTGTGGATTTGATCTTACGACTGCTGGTCTTCTGACCATGCAGCACAGAGGCTTCTGCGGTTTAACCCGTAGCGCCACCACGTCTCATATGAACTAGAGATGGGCACAAATTAAAAAGTAAATCTCCAAATTTATTCAAAAATTGCTAATTTATTGATTTGTATTCATACAAATCAATGCCCCTGATAAATACTATTCAGCAAATCTTTAGCAAGTTTTGATTCATCAGTTTGTTTGGTTATAAACGGTACCCCAGGCACCTAGAGACACCAACATTTCAGGGAAGCTTCCTCTGACTCTCCTCTTTGATGAAGGCTGGCTTCCCCCAAGTTTGGTGCTAAAGGACATTTTCCTGAGGAACTCAGTTTGTGAGTGTATAACTTGAATGTCTGAAAGCCAACCTTCACCAAACCTGGAGGGATTGTAAAGCAGAGTCAGTAGAAGCATCTCTGTGATTTTGGTGTCTCTAGGTGTCTGAGGAGAGCTTTCCTGAGGGGTCCTCCTTGTGGGTGTATAACTCAGATGCCCCAAACTCCACCAAACATGCAGGGCTTGTAGAGGAGAGTAGTGGGAAGTTACCCTACTAATCTGGTATTTCTAGGTGCTTTGGGGACCATTTTATGGGATTTTAAAGTCAAAAATGAACTGATGAATCAATTCATAACTTAATTAGAAAAAATAATAAATTCATAATTTGAGATTTGTCAACCTTGATAAAGCATGGATCATTTTTCTGATTTGTGTCCATCTCTATCATTAACCAAGAATCTTCTAACATCATCAATTATACTGTAGTGTATGTGCAAAAGACATGTACTAGTGTAGAAGGAAATTACTGTTTCTTCCTGAAAGGGTGGAAGAGGAGTATGCATGTCCCCTACAGCCGGGAACAACAAGTCTTTTTCTTAGAGCTTTGATGCAGCTGAATAGTCTGTTCTTTCACTTTGTCTTCTTGTTCTTTTAAGACCCTACAGAAAGAAACGTAATAGATTTTCTTAAGTAGATCAAAGGGTTGTCTAGTCCAGTATTCTGTTCCTGAAGGTAGTCAGTCAGATGCTTCTAGGAATCAAAAGGGCACTCAAATTCTCCACCTTCATTTGAGGTGGTAAAGCACTGGAACAGCATGTTTAAGGGTAATGAGTTCTGAAGCTCTAAACCAGTTTTAAGCAAGATCTGCTTACCAGAGAAGTGGTATAAGCCACTGACTCTGTTGGTAGTAGCAGGAGTCAAAACTACAACTGACACACTTCTTGCTGCTTCTGTCACAGCAGTTATCGAGCCACTGTATAAGCCCCTGACTCTGATGGTAGCAGCAGGAGTCAAAACTACAACTGACATGCTTCTTGCTGCTTCTGTCACAGCAGTTATCAAAGCCAGTTAAAGAAAAGGCAAATGGAGACAAAGGGATGATAAAGCTTCCACCCTCCAAATGGCATGGCTTCACCCCCAGCTCCTCCCAAAATTGTGCACAGAGGCTCGGGCTTAATAGGCATGTTATAGTTCACACTGTCTTCTTAACAGTACACACATTTTTTCTTACCTAGTCAAGTGAAGTAGGGATTTGTTAGTGTTGTCACCAGACAAGGCACTGCATTCATAAAACATTAATTTGTACTCCTGAAACAAATTGGGAAAAGAGTTGCATATATCAGTTTTCAGCAAGTGTTTAAAGAAATCTACAGTCACAAACTGAGACGTCAACAGTGCTTGGCTAATCCGAGCAAGGGAAGATCAGCCTGGAAAGGCCCAGGATAAACAAATAGTGGTCAAGGATGTGGAAGGGATCTGGACTTCCGGCTTGACGCTGCAACGAGACAGCAGGAGGAGGACAGAGCTCCGTCCACTGGGCTGAATTCTGACCTGTTTGGGGACCGACCAGGGGGTTAAAACCACCCCAAAGAGGTGGTGAAATGGGGGAGAAGCCTGTTGATCACAGGGGGTGTGGGGAAACCCTGCTCAGGGTCGTTAGCTGCATTCCTGTTTCAGTGAGAGTAAACTCTCTTGGCAGAGAGCAGCAGCTCCTGATGGGCAGGGTGACCTCTCATTCTCCCTTTTCCCTTAGAGTTAGATCATAAGATCAAAGGGTTTCTCTGGCCAGTCCTAGTGGCGATTAGGTAACTAGTGTCCTATCTGCTTGTTTCAAAGCAAGAATCAGCATCCAGTTTTGGATGGGGAGTATTTGGCATCTTATCTGTCTGCTTGTTTCAAAGCAGGAATCAGCATCCAGCTTTGGATGGGGAGTATTTGGCATCTTATCTCAGCTAGAGTTGCAGACAATCTGATTGCAGATCCCTCTCTGTTTACAAGTGCAGGGAGATAGAGATGCCAAATAAAATATGGTAATATGCAGTGAAAATTCATAGCTATGAAAGTTTTATTAAAACTCATCAATAAATATTGATTAAGTAATCACTCAAAAAGCCATTATTAGATATACAGCTTCCACTGAAAATAAGGAAATATGCAATATAGGATATTAAGACCAGATGTAAAAAAATAATTCTAATCCATTCTCTCACAGCTTGACACATATCCACATTATGGGGATATTAACAGTGCACTAGGATTCTGATGTGATTTTATTATAAATCAAGCAATTTTCACATGTAAATTTATCTAATGATGATCAATTGGTTAATTAGTTAAATCTGTGATTAAAATTTCTTTCATTAATAGTCCTTGTTAGCTTCCAAAAACAATGCTTTGCAGGATGCACAAGCCTTCTGAATATAAAACATGCTATCTCCTATTGAGCAGTGTTTCCTGTAAGTTTGCCTGTACAAAATAGATCAGATATTGATAACTTCTAAGTTATTGCAAATGACACATAGTACATTCAATCAGCAATTGTGTATTGCTGAGATTGTAGATTGTATATTAATCTGAGAGAAACTTTCACTTAACTCAGTGGGGCTTAGTAGTAAGTGAACATGTATCGAATCATGCTGCTATTATATCTTTAGCGTGGTGTAGTTTTAGAAGAGATTGCCATTTTAGTCTGTGTGCTAGCATATCAGGCAAAACAAAATAAAGAAAACAAAAATGTTGTGGGACCTGGAAAATTAATGCTAACATTTTAATGGAGGTTTCATGCATAAGTCCACTTCTACAGACATAAAATTTGGAAGACATGGCAAATATTTATACATGGAACTATGTCTGGAAGGCACTATATTTTTTTAACAAAGGGACTGTATTTTTCTCAGGACAAGTTGTTGATAGTGTGGCATTTCACACACAAGAATCCAAAGAGAGACAGCTGAGATGTTTAAAAACCATCTCAATTGACTTGCTATTTATTTATTTATTTATTTATTTATTTATTTATTTATTTATTTATTTATTGGACCTGGAAAATTAATGCTAACATTTTAATGGAGGTTTCATGCATAAGTCCACTTCTACAGACATAAAATTTGGAAGACATGGCAAATATTTATACATGGAACTATGTCTGGAAGGCACTATATTTTTTTAACAAAGGGACTGTATTTTTCTCAGGACAAGTTGTTGATAGTGTGGCATTTCACACAAAGTATCTTGGACCATTAACAAATGTAGAATATTGTGTTCCATTTACTGAAATTCCCAGCTATACTTCTTTAATATATCAAACCAGTGCCATCTCACAAGTCTCACTGGTAATTAAAGATACTTATACCATGTTGTTCTTGTTTGCTATCTATAGCCTGGGATTAAGTCAGCCACCATTATTGTCATTGTTTATAGAACAATGCTTCCTGGGAGGGAAACTGAACACCAACAGTGGTCTTAAAAATCATTGCAAGGTGTGAAATGCTGCACAAGGTGGGGCTTCCTGAGTTTACAGGACTAGATTCCGTTGCTTTGGTTTGTGCATCCAGAGAAAAGAATATCTCATCCATACCATCTTGAACAAATCAACTTCAACCGATTATGGAAACAGTGCATGATCATGCTCACTTAGGATTTGGATGGGAGACTACCAGAGGTTACCACAAATCTCAAGGCTGGGATAGGAAACACTCTAGAGCTGCTACCAGCCAGAGTCAACAATAGTGTGCTAGATGGACCAATGGTCTGTCTCTGTGTAAGGCAGCTTTCAAGGTTCCTAAGGAATAGAAGCTTCCTCCCATTTCCACTGCTCAGTATGTTTACAAAAGGACATTGTTTATTTTGGAAGCACTTTGCTATACCTGCTAGAAAGAACATTTGCTGTCCAAATGGACTTTAAATAAAACAGGAAAAGAATGCTACCCATGCTGATCTTCCTCCTCCTCCTGTGATCCTGGCAGTTTTTAAAAAGCTGATAATCATAACATGATAATGCATGAGAATCAAGCAGATTTGATTAATTGCACATATAGCCATATATTTGAGACTATTATTCCCTAGTAAGTGAGCATACCATGCACTACATTTTTATTCAAATATTCCGTTTCTAAAGAATGTGTTCTTTGGACTCTTGCTTCTTACTGTACCTTGGCTAGATGGTCTCCTAATGCATGAGGGACTTCCCGTTCTTTTTCATTATCAATTTTATTGCCAAGTAAAAGGACAGGTATGTTCTCCCCTGCTGCCTCCTATGGATCACAAAACAGCAATTAAAATATGGAATATTTCCCCCAATGAAACTATTAAGAAAAGCTGGTGACCATAAAATGCCATATAAACAGAACAACAGCACCTAATGTATTTTCTTACAAAACAGATAAAGCATGGTGCAATAAATGGATATGGGTAGATGGGAATATTATTATATTAGGATTGTGCCATTCTCTGACACAAATTTTGGACATTATTTCTTTTAATCTTTAAAAATAAATAGAAATGTCATGTTCTCTTAACTGGGATCAAGCAACTTCTCGAATCAAGCAACTGTGATACTGCTATGGAAATGCTGCACAGTTAAGGCATCCTACTTTTTCAGCCTTTTGTTTTTCCAAATGCTGAAATTTCTATTTATCTTCAAGTCAAGACCATTTGACCTATTAATATAAATTTTAGCAGGGGCAGTTCATAGTTTGAGCTAGGAGTCTCACTCCAAAATTCCAAGATGACGCCCAACGCATCAGGCCTGTTAAATCTGGCACAGAAAATCTATCATACATGCATATCTAATAACATGTGGTCAAGTAAGAGCAGTTCAAACAAGTTTCACTGCCATTTAAGAGACTCTCGTTAGTGATTATTTAAAAAGTATTCCTTACCCAAAGCATGCCTTAATTTTTTCCTTTTTGGTATTCTAGATTTTGTCATATATAAACATGGGGATGAATTAAAAAATGGATTGTGATATTCATCAGAAATTGCTGATTCATTAAATCAGCGATTTCTGATTCATATTCGTAGGTTCCAGAGACCGTGATGAATATGAAGAGATGAATATTTTCCCATTTTTATTCGTCCCCCATAGGAAGAGAGAGAAGGCTTCCTATGTCTTTCCCATTCTGCCTACTGGCCTGCCAATCAGCTGACTGGTTTTCTCAATTCTTGATGAGATGATTTTTTTTGTTTTTGCTTTGTTTTTTGTGAAAGGTGTTTGTTTTTTAGGTGGTTTTTCTTTTTTTGCAAAACTTTTACATTTTGCACAAAAGTATAGTCCCCTGCTCAGAAAACCTTGTATTCAATACAGGAAACCTCATGTTCTGTGCAAGAAGCCTAGTGTCCCACACAAAATGGACAATATACAAGGTTTGTTAATCCCATACCGATGAAACTGTATAAATTGTCCTGAGTTTACTTCCAATTTAAACTGGATTCTTGAAACTACATAACAATACAAACAAGCATTTGTCTCTTTATTTTTGTGCAAGAGTAAACAATCCAGCAGCTGACAGTTGTTGTTTTTTCCAATGGAGTGTCTCAACCATTTTTCATCAACAGTGAACAAAATTGTGAATACTTTTTACATCCTTAGACAATATCACTGAAATACTGTTGCTTAGAGTAATAAGTTGCACTAGAGAAGGCCCATTGAATCAGTGAGGAATTGGTGAGTGAGTTCCATTGATTCAAATAGGCCCATTTTAGTTATAACTTGCTAAGCTAAAGCAAATCACAACTAAAGTAGGCCCATTTGAATCAATGGAACTTACAGAGTAGTTGAGTCACCAGATTGCATTAGTCTGGTGCAAATGACTATACTAAGCAACAGGATTTCAGTGTATGTTCTACTGTATACTTCTAGCTACTGTATGCCCCACTTTGTATATTAGTAAATAAACTATAGTATTGTAGCAGCTTGTCAAGTCTTTAAGCACCTCTCCTTCCCAAGTGAAAGAAAACTGGATAAGTGCTGTCTCTGGAACAACGTCTTATTGCTCTGGAAGTAGAGATCATATAATGGTATTTAAATAGCTAGACTTACCTCAATGCTCACTAACCACTGCTTCACATCCTGGAATGTGTCTCTTGCTGTGATATCATACATTACAACAACACCATCAGCTTTTCGGAAGAACTGCTTAGTGATACTGCGGTACCTACAAACCCATTATCTTTGTTTAGATATTTGATCAGTAGCATCAGATCCATATAGCAGCATAGACAAGACAGCAACAAAACAAATTTCAAAATCCAAAAGCAGGCAGTACATCAGGCACAATCCACCAGGAAGCAAATAACTTCTCACTCTTTCCATTTCTAAGCTTATCTGGTGTATTCATTGTGCAGTTCCCTCTCTTTGCTGCTAAGTACTGTGAATATGCTTCAAAGTTTTCTCTATGACTACTGTAATATTTTAATTGCTCCCACAACTTGTTATCTAACTTCATAACTACCGCCCAACCTAATCTTTGTCTGGGGCTTCAGGGCTTCTTTGCTCATAGTTATGATAGGTTCAGTTTATTGTCATGACAACGTACTGTTCCCTTCCACATCCTATTGTTTGACTTCACAACCACAGTTATCCATCCTAATCTTTTGTCCAAGTCTGTGTCCAAACTAGACCATGGCGTTCATGTATTGGTCTTTGAATCTCAAATACCTTTGCTTCTCTGACTGCAATGAGCCACCTTTTGTTATGCTCCAAATAGAGGACTCCTCTAGTAGCAGTGCCTAGAGCCTGAGAAGCACAAAGACTCAGGACCCTCAGGGGACAGGAGATGTGATGTGGCCCTAGAGTCAGACAAGGATACTGGGAGCAACACCTAGTCAAGGCAATGGTTCAGTTTTAGAACAGAAAGCTTCTCAAAAGCATGAGATTTTCTCAAGTGAAGGGCCCTCCTCACATAGAGATTGAACACTGGAATGCCAGCACTTGAGTTCTTGATGGGGCTCTGACAGTCTAGCCATAAAGATCTCAGTTCTAGTTCAGTCAGGCTATTGAGTACAGTGTCTTCAGTAGAACCATGACAGATTTTCCTGCACACTCTGACTCATGTTGGGATTTGATATGCTGCTGCCTTACCTTGGAAAGTGTTTGACTCAACCTTTTGGAATATATTTCCTTGGTTGCTATTTCTAAACAGTCCTTGGACTGTTGCTTGATTGTGGCCCTGAATCCTCCCTGACTGCTTTATCTAAGCTGCTGATAGGACTGTATCTGGTTGAACATTGCATTGTTCTCTGTTTCTGCTTCTGAATTCTCCTTGTCTGGCTGGTATATATATATATATTGATTTTTCAGACTTTGCAACTGGAAGCTGCCCAAGTAAGAACAGAACAGATTTCATTTAAATCATGCGAATGGCTTGAAGTGAAACTCATAAATGAATGGAACATGCCATATGAATTCTGGCTTCAGAAAACCTTGGCTGGCTATCACAGTGGTGCCACTTTCCACATGAGATGTCTTTGTTTGTTTGTTCATTTGTTCATTTGTTTTATAGGCCAGCTTTCTCCTGATAGGTAGACCCAAGGCGGAACACAATAGGCATTGAATTAAAAATAAGTTAAACATTTTTTAAAAAAATTAAAGTATATGCTAATTAAAATACAATTAAATAATTAAAAGCAAATAAACATTAAAAACTATCTTAACTCTAAGAGGGCATTCAGAGATTCAATCATTGTTGTTAAAAGTTGAACATGGCTAAGGAGATCTCCTTACCTTTCTTGCCCAGCAGTGTCCCAGAGCTGCAGCACTATGCGGCTATTATCCACTATCACTGTTTTCACGCTATAATCCACACCTGTAAAGGAAACAAAGCTCAGGCTGTCTCATCAATGTATACTCCTTTTAGCCTGTGGACACCTGATTAATAATATAAATGATTCTGTACTAGCTTGATACAACTCATAACTCACCAAGCTGAAGACAGATGTTCTAGCAAACAAGTGTTTGGGCTTCCTCCATTTCTGTAGTACCAGGCAATGTGTAATCAATCTCTCTCTACTGAGTTACAAACATGGACCATATGCTGGTTGTTCAAGTTGCTGCATCACAAGCTATGTGCACCTTATCTCAGATACCATTCACACAACAGTCTACACTTAGCCAATCCTATGCTTTCAGTCTCTGGCTGGTCACACAAAAATAAATGAGTACAAAACTTCCTAACTGTTAGAGCAGTACAGCAATGGACCCAATTACCTTGATGGGTAGTGAGTGCTCTAACACTGGAGGCATTCCAGAGAAATTTAGACAACCACCTGGCAGATATCCTTTGACATGTATTCCTACATTGAGCAAGGGGGTTGGATTCATTGGCCTTATAGACCCCTTCCAACTTCATGATTCTGTCATTCTATGATTAAATAAAAAGAGTAAAGAGATAACTGCCCAAAGGAGAATTAAGTGAATAATTATGTGCTGAATACCTGTGAAGATTTTCAGTCATCCAGGTGAGGTTGTCTAGGAGTTAAGTCATGGCAACTGGACTTCTTTCTTATTAGGTTGAAACGTTGTGCTACTCATGCAAGTAGCTTCTTCAAGGGGAAGTAAAATCAACATGGAGCATATATCAGGGATCTCCTACCAACTCTCCTCAGTCTGGAGACACTACTTCGATGAGTTGCAAAATGTTTCAGCCTAATAAGAAAGAAGTCCACTTGCCACGACTCTCCTTCCAGATATGTGCTGAATGTTTTTCTTCATCTGCACCAAGGAAACTAAATTCTGCAGCCTAGGTCAGTTATGAAAATGCAATAGTGATAGGTGAGGGTAAGGTCTATACAGAAGACTGAGACATTACTGTTATTAAGTCTTACCCACTGTTGCCCTATATCTCCAAGTTTCAGACTTTGAGCCATAAATACTTTCGTTCTCTCACTTGATACCATGGAGGGCATTAAGACATTAGACTGACAGAAAAGCTAGCAAAAATCAAACCAAACAACATCCCTTAAATTCTCAGCAGAAAAACTTTGTGTCTCTGCAAACAAAGTGAGAATGCTAAGACATCTTGAGATGCTTTGTCATTTCAGAACTCAAAACAAACACTGCTGCAGAGAACAGATCGGATCCAACACAGGGGAGCAGATAAGCCGTAGATACCCATGTTCCTATCCCAAATTCCCACCACAAGTCTGATGCTCAGCTGCTGAGCAGATTGAGGTAGGAGGACTGTGATGTGGAGAAGGTGCTCAGAAAGAGTGATTCTCCTTCATTTCCTCTTCATTGCAGTTTGGCATCCTACTGGTGTTATATGTGAAGAAAGTGTGGAGATAGAGGTGGGGAGAGGTAAGGGAAACATTAATGCCATAGTTCAGATAAAATAAAATATTATGAATGGACAAGGACATGATGAGTAAGGCCTGGCTAACCATGAATCATTGTCTTGGGCAGCTAAGATCTTCATTTGGCTCAAGAACAATAGGAGCTCTATTTTGCTGCAATATTTATTTCATACTAAAATTTCCATATGTTTGTTTGAGTGGCCATGATCAAAATGTCTTGAGAGGGAGGCATTCGTGTTTCATGCATGTCCTTTACCTAATCCAATAGCCATTCATGCCATGTGGCTGTTGTTTGTTTGCTTGTTTGTTTTTAGCAAAAACAAAGAATTTATGCATCTGATGTCATGCCTAATGGGGGCCCTAGGAAATTCAAGGTGTGACTAGACATTGAAGTTATCCCAGGCTTCATCCGGCTAAACAGGGTTACTAGAAAGTATGGTGTGACCTTTAAAACAATCTTTGCATCCACATACAGGAAGCAGATGATTATTTATTTATTTTTCCATTTATTGGCAAATGGCGTTCCCCTTTCATTAGTTTGCCACCCAAGAGACACAACATTGGATTGTAAAGAGAAAGGGGGAAAAAATCACCCTCCATGTCTTCTCTTGCCACTCCCTCTGCAGGTAGCAGGGAAAAGCTGGTAAAAAACATTTTTCATGCATTGGTAAGTGACATCCCACTTTATTGGCTTCCCATGAAAGTGACATAGCCCTGAATTGTCGGGGTAAACACTGCCTAACGCTGCTTTGATTCAGTACTGGCGATCACACATGCTGGAAACCAAACTAAAACATTGTGATCCAATCCACACTTTTAAAAAGTAGCCTTTGTCCATGAGCCAAAAAAGTGCAGGCAGCCACGGAAAAACATTCAGTTAGTTCAGAATTACCAGTACACTGTATAGTCGCCAGAAAATAGATCTAAACTGATCTTGCCAAAAGCAACCCAAAACATGAGATGCAGTACCATCCATCTGCGTAAAGCAAGGAGGACCTTTCTCTTCAGTGCTCTAATGTCTGCAGGACCTTCCATAGAAGATGAGTTGCAGCCAGCAAGATGGATTATCGTACACATACATATACATTACTAAATTGTAATCAGGATGTGGGTTTCATTTACAACTGATATAAAATAGCATACAAACCAAACAACTGAAAACATTTCAGACATTAGAGTCAACCGATTAAATTGTGTTTAGCTGATTCAACTTCTTTCAGCAGGTTTCATAATGAGTAATGCAATTTTTAATAGCAGTATGTATGTATGTACCATATTTCTCCATGTATAAGATGCTACTTTTTCCAAAAATTGATAGACTAAAAATTGAGGGTCGTCTTATACATGGAAGTAAGCTGAGGATAGAACAAAATGGCCCATACCTTGCCTCTGCAAACAGGCTTCCTTCAATCACAAGGCTTAGCTGCCTCCAGTCAGGAGACTTATGTAACTGGTATCAGCTGATGCTGAACAAACCAATTGCAACAGTGCTCAGATACAACAGGGACTCCTAATGTCTGAGTGTTCCAAGTGTAGAAGCTGAATAAAGTTAAAGTGTGATGCATAATTTACTGGTATGTAAATGTTACCTAATTACTAAATACAGTGGGGACTTGACTTATGGACATCCTTACTTATGAAAATTTCGACTTACAAAAAACTCCGGCCGCAAAATTTTGCTTTAACTTGTGGCCGGAGCTTCCACTTACAAATAGAAAAAGGCAGGGGCAAAGGACGGGAAATTCAAACCGTTGGTGGTGAAGGGGCTGCTTCTTCACCCCAATGGTTAGGAAAAGGGAGGCTCAGCCTTCTGGGCTTCCACCGCTTCTGCCACTGCTGTCGGGAGGCAAGCCGTCGGACCATCCCGGCTGGTCTCAGCCTCCCAGGGTTCCCCGCCACAGTGATTGCTGCCGCCAGAGGCCTCCCTAGCTTCCCCACCACCGGGGAGGCCTCCTGGGGTTCTCCGTTGCCGTGACTGCCAGTGGTCTTAATTTTGGGTTAGAAAAGTGGGGGAATGTCTTATACATGGGGCGTCTTATACACAGAAAAATACTGTATGTATGTATGTATGTATGTATGTATGTATGTATGTATGTATGTATGTATGTATGTATGTATGTATGTATGTATGTATGTATGTATGTATGTATGTGCCAGAATTGCTTGTTGGAGATTTCCGTCTTTGTTTCATCCCTAAATTAAATAGTAGGAATTTATTGTAAATTAATTAAACCAATTTTACTATACAATACACACAGAAGTTCCACTGAATTCAATTAGGTTTACCCCCTACTAAGCATACTTAGAACTGAACTAAAATAGTCTTGTACATGTCTGTTCAGAAACAAGCCCTGTTACATTTAAACATACTCCTAGCCCCTTGTTAACCAGGTATTTTTCAATATTCATGCCGTAAAAAATAAACATTTTATTATGGAAATACACCAGAAACAAAATAACATCAAAAATAAAAATTGCCTTTTACGGATCAAAATTCAGCCGCAATGCTTGAGATTGGCTCCCAATGATTAATCAGGTAAAGTTTTTAATTAATAAAAGCTACCATACAAAATTAGAAAGCTATGGCATACTTAAATTGTTAGTCCCAATAAAAATAATCTAAAACATTAAGCAAATGTACCATTAATTTCCAGCAAAAAATATTGCAATTTTCCCTCACCAATTGCAATTCTCCCTCTATAGAGTTTTAGTTTATTAATCTATTAATCTTCCAATTAAAGCAATTTAAGATGGCAGCTCCAATTTGCCATTTAAAAAAAACAGGGCAGCTAATTATAATGTAATACTGTAAAACTTTCTAATCTCGAATCATATAAACGTGAATAGCAGTATAAAATATTCAGCAGGATAAGGATATGAAGTCATGGTGACACTCATGTAATTAGGTGAAGGTCAATGATTCAGTGACTGTTAAGAAACCCAGATGAATTCCATGTTTGGCCCCAAACTGAGATTATTTCTCCATTTCTGGGTCAACAGCACTGGATGCTGACAATCAAATATAAATTGATGGAGTCAGTGAGGGAAAAACTTGACTTTTTTCAACTCCAACAGGGGTAGAAGGATTCTATTAGTTGTAGTCCAAGAACAATAATGACTATGAGGATGATAATATTGATGATGATTCCCCCTTTTTGCTTTTAGCAGTCAGTCTTCTGAAGCGAAGGCTGACAGTCAGTGAGTATGAAACGCTTGTGAATATGAAACCCTTATTGTAACATGTATATAGGTCAGTGACAGGAATGCCTATATGTGTGCCCTTCTCTGTTTCACTTACCAACAGTAGCAGCAGTGCCCGAGTAAAAATGGTCTTCAGAAAATCGCCTTAAAAAGGAGGTCTTTCCCACACTGGAATTACCCACAAAAACAATCTTGAATAAACGATCTGGGCCAAGCACCTGTTCATCCTTCAAACAAACACAAACATAGCTGTTCAGTTAGTTGTACTGTACTTCTCAACCATGTGTCTTGCCAGGAGCAAGAGGCTCTTATGATTCGAGAGACAATGGCTCGTCCATAAAGAGAAAAGAATAGTGAAATGAGTATACAATAAAAAGCAATAGTATGAAAATGATAAATCTAAGCATAAAATATTAACTCTAATACAAAAAAGACAGAGTGAAGCAAAGACAAAGCCTGAACCCATCCTGCCCTGGGAGCCTCTGGAACACTGGTGGATTATTCCCTTGATCCACGTACCCATTTCCAAGAATCTTGTACATAATGCTAGCCAGCAATGGCCTGTGATTTGTTTGTCTGTCTAAAATATTTTTACCCCCTCCTTTCTCCTTAAAAAGGACCCGAAGTGGCTTACATCATTGAAACACAATATTTAAAGCTGAAAACAATAAGTATACAATGGTGGTTTACATCATTAAAAGACAATATTTAAAGCTAAGAACAATGAGTATACAAATATTGAAAAGGAACAAATGCCACTCTAAGAAATGGTAAACACAAGTAGTACTGAAAGGTTACAGAATAAAGGCCCCAAGGAGTAATTTATACCTTTAAATGCACCTAATACCTGCTCTCTGATTAAGAACATAGCACATTCCTTCTTAATTGGCAAAATGTTTGAAGAGTAACTGTCTAACTGGAACATTGATAAGGAGAAAGACAAAAGCCTATCTCACAGCCATAAATACTGCACTCCCAAGCCAACTACAGCAGAACACAGAGTGCTGTCCGCTGAAGATGCCGGCCACAGAGACTGGTGAAACATTAGGAAGAACAACCTTCAGAACACGGCCAAAGAGCCTGAAAAACCCACAACAACCATTAGATCCTGGCCGTGAAAGCCTTCGCAGATCCATTGGAAAAATGATAACACTTTTGTCTTTAAAGAACTTAGCTGAACATTAAACTGATTCAATTCAAATGAGTCTACTCTAACTAGAATTTACTGAGCTAAAGTAAGTTGCAGTTATATTAGGCCTATTTGAAACAATGGAGGCGTTGACTCACCATTGACTTAATAAGCCTGCTGTAATGACATTTGCTATGATAAGCAACAGGATTTTGGCAATTGTTTCTCAAGTTCAGGTGTCTGTAATCACTGACTTGACCAGCACAGCTGTAATAAACAAAATTCTTTTCCAGATGGTAACCCCATATCTTCATGATAAATACCTGCCTTCCCAGGCAATTAATTAGTAAATACTCATTCTTCCCAAACAAGTATTTGGTAGGTCATGAGAAGAGGAAAAAAAAAACCCTGTAAAATCGAGCTGTGAAACAGAAAACCACCTTCTATTCAGGCTAAAAAGGACCACTATGGGCCTATACAAATGGAAACCTAGGCACATAAACCTTTAGATTCCAACAAACTTGGGCATAGAGGAAAACGTGGGCATAGAGACATACCACTACATATCAAAATACAGTAATTTCCCATGATATAGAACCACACCATGTTGCTTTTAAAATCATTATCAGGGATTTATGCATTTATCTGTTGTGTATAATGATGATTCTAGAAACTCACATTAGCAAAAATGTTAACATCAAAATATTCCAAAAAGGCAGCCTGAATGCAGAAGGAAACAAAATAGAACAAATATGTCCATCTCTACTTTTCACTCATAAAAACAAATGATAGTGACCAAAATCACGTTGTTGCTCTTGTATACCTTGCCATGGGTAATTGTGACTAACTGATGAGATACCAGGGTGCATCTTAGTTACACAATTAGTAGTGTGAGATTCTAGAAGACTTCCTGACATGGTATTGTCCCTTCTGATTTCTAATATCAATTCAGAGAGTTCAGAAGATTACAAACTAACAATAAGAAAGAAAAAACTGATTTAGTCTGCATAGGGAAAAAGCCATATAATTAAAGTGTACCTTTTCAATATATTTTAATTATTTACCCACATATTTTAATGAACAAGGTATATTAATAATGGCTTGCTGCAAACCTGTGCATAATTAAGCTGCTCATATTCAGTTTAAGCCTATAGTTTAGCAGCCAGACTTTTGGTAGTATTCCAAGCCACCACCAAAGCTCCTGGTTGGATATAAGGCATATGAAATATCAAAATATTCAGTGGAATTTCACACTAAATGTTACATTAAAAGTTACATTAAAAGTTCACAGAGTAACATTCACTACATTCAAATACAAGGTATCAAGACAAATTTGGTCACACAAAGCAGATCTGGGGGTGGGGTGAGAATAGAGAGTAAAACAATTCTTCCCCCAGGGCTTCACTGCTCAGTTAAGCTTGGGTCATGAGAGACTGACAAATGCAGGGTGAGGATGGAAGAATGGGGAGGAATGCCTGAGACCAGGTGCATGGCAGCCATATTGTTTCCATGCTGAGTCTACCTGTTTTGTGTTTCTTTCCACCTCAGGAGGCATGGCTAGAGACGGTATCTGCAGTCTTTCAACAGCAAATTTTTGCATTGTCTAAATTTCAGCATGCTGAATCAAAGCCCACTTTCCCTGACCTAGTTATAGGCAATCTGTCCATCTACTCTGTTAGAATCAATATCTTCCAAAACGAAACCAAAAAAAGCAACATAATTTTGCTCCTTACATTTGATAGTGTTTCTTTCCCTACTGGTTGCTCCCTGGGAGAGGAAGGTGTCTGTTCTGATGGGGATTTTATCTGGGTCCCATTTATTTCCATATCTGGCAAGGCATCTTCATCCTCTTCAGACCATTTGGTTAGCTGCTTCTCTGACCTGTCAAGAAGCTGAGGCAGATGATCTTCTTCAATTGATATTATTCTTTGTAAACACTTTTTGCGTATGAGTCCGCCAGCAGCAGTAGATTCAGAATCTACTGTGGGACATTCATTCAAGCCATAGGAATTTCTTCTCCTTGAAGTGCTAAATGTGTCATCATCTTCTGAAGTCCGGCTAGAAAGTCATTAGGAGAGTTATTACCAGACACAGCATGGTTCAAGTCTCAATTTCACAGTAGAATTGTATGTATAGTCTGCAAAATGCTACATTTCAAATGTGGGTTCAACATGTAAACTTGGAATCAAATATTTGATCAAATCTTCAGCAAGTCCTAAAGCATTTAGAAACCATTTGAAGAATATTGATTAAAATATTAGAGTATTTCAGTTCTACCAGAATACCAGTTTTAACATCTGATTTCAGGAAACATAAAACAAGTTTTCAGTCATTTGATAGCAAAATGGTAATGTCTGCTTTGTAATTTTACTGAGCAAATTTAGTTCTCACCATCAATATTACAGCTGTTGGTTTCTAGGGAATAAATCACTGATAGCTACATTAGTATTGTCTTTAATACATATAACAACTTCTGTGAAAAATGTTACCAATGATATCTAAAAACATACTTTTATTTGATTTCTTAATAAAGTTAAAAGCTTGTGCAGGAAACCACCGACCAGGACATTCCCTGTACAAATTATTTTAATATTCCCATTCATTTCAAAACAGGCGCATTGCCAACAAAACCCACCAACTGAGAAGGCTACTATTTTTTAACCTCATAACACTGTCAATCATTTCAATACACATTTTAACAAAATAGCTAAGCGTTCAATCACAGCTGATGGCATATAAGTAAAAATATATTCGCTGAATATTCATTTAGGTATGGGGGGGAAGTTCAATTAGTAACTATTTCTTGCACAATTTTCTAGTTCGCTTGCTATTTTGCTTTCAACATAACAACTGAGATCCCGAATAACATAATGGAAGCCTTACCTTTTCAATGAACCTTTTCCTTCCAGATAGTTGCCAATGATTGAGCCTGATCTCTGTTTCAAAGCAGCAGGCGGAACATGCTCAGATTTCTATGGAAATATTGTTTTTAAAATGTCTGAAAGTAACTTTCATGGTTGTTTATTTAAAAAACCCCAGCAGATCCAATACCAGTATTTCAAAACAGTATATTTCAGGGCAATTGGCATTTTCTGAAATGCCCTATACCATCCTTTGGTTCATGTTTAAGATAGTCAGTGACTAACTAGGACTAGATTTGGGGCAAAAACATCTAGCCACCCCTCATGGGCAGAGTCTCTCTGAAAGAATCTGAAACATCAGCCTTTGAACCCTCCGAGCAGAAATTGGGTATCTGTGAGACAAACCAGTTTTGCACACTAACAGTAAAGGCTTTTAGAGTCCAAAATCTGGCATGTCTCCAGAAAGGCAGGAGGTGTATGAGAGTACTACTGTTAGACACCTGCTAAGAATACCAAAGACAGGAAAAAAAAGATTTGTGACTTTAAGCCACACTCACCTGGTATAAACACATGTCACGTTCATCTCTCAGGTACTTATTCCTTTCTCTGGAATGGAAATTAAAACAAAGGACAAGAAAGAAGTTACACCAAATTTTTCAACTATCTGCATTACCCAATTCAATCCTGCTTTGAGTTGGTAGCAGTTATTCTGTACTTTGGGATGCTATTTTAAAATACTGTTGCATGTACGAGCATGCCATATAATTCCACAGGTTTACTTTCTGGGCTTCTAGAAGCTAAATCCTTAAGCAAGGATGATAGCTTTCAGAGTACTGCAAGAGCAAGTGTATAAATAGAGATGACTTGGAATTTGGCTCTGGGAGATGAACTAATGAAACAAAAATGAAACAAACTCAGAAAAATACCTTTGGTTCTTCTGAGCGAATTCAGACCCCCCTGTCTGCCTAAAAATACTATTATCAGGGGAAAGAGGAGGCAGTTGCCCCCACCCAGGTTCTCTCTCAGTCAGCATTCAAGCGCTCTCTTCCATCCCTCACAGTTGCCACCTGGTCTTACCGTTCCAACAGTGGAAAATTGAGGGAGATCTTCTTCTGTCCCACCCCACTCCCCCACTGCTACCAAGGTACACGAGGCACTGAGAATTGTAGTGCCCTGAGTGCTACTAATATTTGTCCATAACATTGGGTGGAACAACTGTTCCTCATGCCTGGCATGGAGCTGTAGCAGTGTGAGAATTTGTTGAGAGGACCAGGAGAGACTTCCCACCATTCTTACAATTCCACGATTACTCAAATAATTAGCAAAATAAAGGTTGTGGAAAGACTTGTGAATGATACATTTAATCATATTGCCATAAACTACTAAGGATTATAACATTTTTCTTAACCCTGTCACCCCTTGTTTAAAGAAATCTGCTCTGTGGGAAAGCAAGATATATTGTATGTGACTATCCTCTCAGAGTAATCCGTGATCCACAGATTTATAGAACACCACGCTCATAATTAGAAGACCTTCCTCGTCAGTGACCTGCTGTTAGGAGAGCTATAATTGCATAAACTCACTGGTAGGGCAAGAGGGCTAGGAAATGTTACCAGAAAGTGCTACAAGGTCTCTCGTAATGAGATGACCAAAGTTTTGTCTGCTCTGTGGTAGGAATGAGGTCCAATGTGTGTTCCGAAAGAAGTGAGAGGCGCATCTAGAAATGTTGTTCTTCCCTCTTCTTGGAGATGGGAACAGTTGCTACTCCCTCCAGTCTCACAGCACAATGTGAGGATTTCTTTTGTCCCATATCTCAGAAAAAATATTATAGTCCCACCACCTTATTTAATGACACTTCTCTATTCTGCAGAACCCCCACATTCTTACAGTGGAGCACAGTAACTTCTCTCTATTCTTTTTTTCTCCCCCCCCCATGGGCTCCCTCCACAAGACAACCCTGTGTTCTTACCGTAAGAAATCCAGTTGTTTAAGCAGCCCTGATTTTTCCCTCTGTAATGTTTCTGTCACTCTGTAAACCTCACTGAAAGAGAAATGTAATAAGCACCAAAATATGCTCTGCTGTTTAAAAAAAAACATGGCTTGTTGTATAGTAACAACTACGGCAATATGTCAAGTCAATTCGGACTTATGGTGGCCCTTTCCAGGATTCAAAGCAAAAAGCGTCCTGCTTATATAATGCCCCATAATGCTTCAAGCAGTCTCTGGGCAGTTTACAAGTTCATTAGGCAGGGTACCCCTTGTTCCCCCCCCCCCAGCGAGCTGGATACTCATTTTATCAACCTTGGAATGATAGAAGGCTGAGTCAACCTTGAGCCGGCTACCTGGGATTGAACCCCGGGTCGTGAGCGCAGTTTTGGCTGCAGTACAGCGGTTTAACCACTGCTCCATGAGGCTCTTCAGAAGTGGTTTACCATTTTCTTCTTCTGGCGTTATCCCTGGGACTGTACATCTTGTCCAAGGCTACACAGGCTGACTTTTCTCCTGAATCACATAGTGCGGAATTGAATTCCCAACCTCTGGCTCTGTGGTTGGGAGTTCAATTTTCAATTTCCCCACTATGCGATTCAATGAGTTGGCCAATTGCTTAGCTTACAAAAATGTTGCATATATTTCACATATAAACCACACCATTCACTACACTCATTTCCACATGGAAACTCTTCTGCCTCCAAATTTGATTTGAACAATAATTCTCTCTTAAATATTAATGAATTTGAGAACCACAAATTACGTGGATATGGAGGGTTATTCCCATCACTGCCTTGAGAAATCCAAGTTGTAGAGACCACTCACACTTCTTTTTCCTCCTGAAGCTTTTTGGCCTCCTCTTGAAGTATCTGCAGCTGCTGCTGGGCAACAATTAATGCCTGGGATGTTATTTCCAATTCATTCTGCAGCTCTTGGTTTGTGAGTTTCAGTTTGGTGTTTTCTACTTTTGTGTCAATCTTGTCATGGTGCAGCTCTCTACACTGTCCCTCCAACTATACAGGAAAAAGGAAAGAAATACAATCTTTTAAAAAAATGCATGATCTGAAAAAATCCCCAAAATATTGTTGTCATTCATTATGTGCTTTCAGTGTTTTTTGGTGTGCTTTTTTTTGTTGCTGACAGTTTTACATCTCTGTTTTCTGCTTGTTACCTAATTTAAAAAGGGACATGGTGGCGCTGCGGGCTAAACCACAGAAGCCTGTGCTGCAGGGTCAGAAGACCAAACAGTCGTAAGATCGATGGAGTGAGCTCCTGTCGCTTGTCCCAGCTCCCGCCAACCTAGCTTTTTAAAAAATGCATGATCTGTAAAAAATCCCCAAAATATTGTTGTCATTCATTATGTGCTTTCAGTGTTTTTTGTTTTGTTTTTTTGTTGCTGACAGTTTTACATCTCTTTTTTCTGCTAGTTACCTAATTAAAGGAATCGTCATATCTAATTTTTATATGACAGGGGCTGTGCGCAATACGTGTTCTGTGCACTTTTCAGCTGAAAATATACCTACCACCCGTGGCAGACGATACATGTACATTCTTATTCAGCCAGCCAAACATTTACACCCTGGGTAGATGTGCCATTATTGTGTATAGCACCTGGATTGTGTAGATAAACACTGCAAAATGTGATGGAAAGCACACAGAACACATATTAATGAATGCTTCCTGGTGGCGTGTGCCACAAATAAATCAGACCCAAGATATGACTTCATGCTCTGATCAAATTAATGGTGGGATAGAAAACGACTAGCTTAGATCCACAAAGTGGTGCTACGTTGCCTATTACATAAAGCTGCCACAAAGGACATTTTGAATTTTATAACTTTAGAGAAAAGCCTTTGAGAAAGATTAAGAATAATAAAATATATAAACAAAATAAACTCGTAAGAGACAAGACTACACACATCTCTCTGGAATTTGTATCTGCAAATTATTTAATCAGACTTGGTTTTGAGTATATTGTCTGCAACCCTCATATACACACAGTGTTCTTTCAAGGACACAAAGCCTTCAAAAATATATTACATTCTATGATAAAGAATCTCCTACCCACGTTTTGCTAGAAAACTATCTCTGTCTCTGAATGGTAAGATTAACATACTCTTTTCTGTTTCTGAGCAAGCTGTTCTAGCTCCTGTTCTTTTGCTGTAAGTTTACGCTCCAGATCCTGACTTCGGGACTGAAACCTCTCTGTGTCCTGAAAAATGAGAACAGATGACCTTAAGAAGCAGAAGATGATTAATTAAGAAGCCTAGTTAGGCCATTAGAACTACATTATAAACAACATTAGAGACATTATACAATTTTGTTTAAAGTAATTCAGACAGAACACACCCAACGTACAGGTACATTGTGACTTTTTACATTTCAAAACAATGTAAAAACAACTTGATTTGAACTACTTGAAGGATAGCCTATCCTTGGGAGATGGCTCACTATTTGTATTTCAGCCCAGATGGAAAATTCAGCACACAATTGCTATAAATCTGCAAGCAGGTAAACATTCCCACAGCCCTAGGAAGACTGTGATATACATGTTCCATATTCCATATTTTTAAAACATGGAAAGAAAAATCTGCACATATAGGAAGGTGCACATAATATATATGTGAATTTCTGTGTTCAACCCCCTCCCCTCCAACACAAGTACCTAGCAAGCATGAGGCTCATGGAAGAAAAAGAAGAGGAAAAAAAGAACCTCAGCAAAATGTCTGATTCTTTGTAAATATATTTTGTAAATAAAGAAATTACAAAATGCCATGTACTTTCTGTGATTTTATTAGACAACCAGCTTCAGATATGCATTTTATCCCTGAAATATAAAGTTGTCTGGAAAACTAAGATGCTTTTTGGTACTTGAGTGCAAGAATCTGCAACTTTTAACTCTTTTCTTTAAAAATTGATCTTTTAATCTTTTAAAACTGTTATTACGTACATCATGGTAGCAGCTCTGAAGAAAGATATGGTAAAATATTACATTTTGGAAAGATCCATACAAATGAGATACTTACTTTCAAGAGAAATGATTGTTTCTCATTTTTGATCTGCTGTTCCATCTCCTCATAAAGGTTTTTTATTTCTTCATCATAGTCAGTGATTTTCCTAGTCAGAAAAAGAAAATGCAGGAATCTAATACAGGGACTGGAGCCACATTTTTGTTCTTGATAAAAGGCTTGTGTGTGTGAGTGTACAAGAGGGAGAGACTCTCTTATTAACATTATTACGCATAAAATTCTGTCACTTGTGGAGTAATAATAGCTCATCCTCCCACCATCTCCTTCTATTTAATTAGCAGGGAATGCCAAAGCTGGCATGCTTTTTTTAAAATTAAAAACAAAGATCAGGAACCATCTCCCACTTCCTCTTTAGGACCATTTTTTCCCTTCCTGCCCCTTCAGTGTTTGGAATAAGCTTGGTTGCCTCTTAGAGCAGGACAGCTGATTAGTTTTTTAGACTGGCAATTTGTGTGAACCTCTGCAGGGTTCACCCAAGTGCATAATGATCCCAATGGTTTCCTGAATGCACTTGGGGACTTCCTACTTTGTTTGTCAGTGATATTATTGAAGCCCTGACTGACCTGTGGAATGTAGAAATAGCTGGTGACTTAATGCTCTCACTCCCCCTTCCTACTTGCAGACCAGGTTAGCTCTCTGAGTCAACAGGGAGCTGAAGGCAATGAAACAGAAGAATCAGTGTCTAGGTCATCATTAGAGGACAACTCAGGGCAAATCAAACCCCAACTTGCTGTAATCCATCTGAAAAAGTACATTGCAGTGGCAAAGGCAGCTAAGAAAGCCCAAGACTCTGTTACCTTTTCTTCCATACACAGCAGACCAGTGATACTGTTCTGAATTGTGCAGGGTCTCTTCACCAGGGTATTGAAGCAGGAAGCTAGAGTGTTTGTTTGCTTGCTATGAACAGTTTGCTTTGTGTTTTTCAGACAAGATCCATTAGATTTACCTTGAACTCTAATATTGGTGGTGATCTGATTGATGTAACATTGGCAACCATTTTTCACCTTGTAGAGCTTGAGAATGTGGACAGGGTGCATTGGAGTAGTTCCTGTCAAGGTGCTCTCAAAAGTGGTGTTGGAGAAGCACTGTTCAACACCATGGCCTTTAGCCCATGACTTTTTCTTGGGCTCCTCTTTATAGCCTGTATTATTTAATAGTCATATGAAGCAGCTGGGAGTGCATGGGTCATTTGGAGTGGGGGAGAAGGAACCACTAATATGCTGATGACACCCAAGCTCTGTACACCAACATCAAGGAAGCTGTTAAGACCCTTGAATAGTATCTGAGCTTGACAATGGACAGGATGATGGTGAACAAGTTGAATTTAAAACCAGACAAGACTGCTGGTCAGTAGAAAGTCAGATTCAGGAACTGGGGTTCAGTTTGTTCTAAACAAGATTGCATACACACATCCAAGTTACATTCATAGTTTGGAAGCACTCCTTGATTCTGCACTGTCTTTTAATTCCCCGGTGGCAGCAGTGACGAGGACTGCCTGATTTAGGAGCAGTTATCTATGCCTGATTTGCATGGTGCCTTGCCAAGTCAAGGCAAGCCTCTGTGACAACCCCAGACCTACTGGGATATGCCACAGTTTCACTAAGCTGCCACCAACCATTCCCTGTAAGGAGTCACACAGACCAGGAATGGATTTTCAACAAATAAAAGAATAAGGTTTATTTAAAGAACACACAGGGAAAATAAAATGATCAAGGGAATAAGATACAGTAACGTGGCTTAGTCTCAATCATACATACACCAGTTTGGTTCACTCAGAACACTCTTAAATAAAGCACAGACCCTGAACCTATCAGTTCTGGCTAACCATACAGACACCTGAACCTATCAGGTTGGTACTGACTGACACACAGTAGTGGGATTCAGTTTGTTCTAAACAAGATTGCATATACACATCCAAGTTACATTCATAGTCTGGAAGCACTCCTTGATTCTTCACTGTCTTTTAATTCCCCGGTGGCAGCAGTGACGAGGACTGCCTGATTTAGGAGCAGTTATCTATGCTTGATTTGCATCATGCCTTGCCAAGTCAAGGCAAGCCTCTGTATGAAGCCTCTGCATGAAGAGGTCCCAGAATCATCAACTGGTGCAATAAGTGAAATCTAGGCTGCCAACCAGTACATGTTATCACAGTCATATGACCCCAATACTGCCAGCTCAGTCTTCCTGGATATATTATGTATTACTTTTTATTTCCCCTTCCTTGCCTGGAATCATGGTGCTTGTTTAAAATAAAAACAAACAAACAAAAATGTCTTCGATGCCAGATTAAACACAACGGATAGGGGATGGAGCCTGCTCCATCCTGTGGACAACCAAAGAGTACTTATTCTGCCCCATGGTTGTCCCCAAATCATACAAATACTCCTGATTTGGCCTGTTTTACATGTTTATCCAAAGACAGCATACATCCCTAGTTTAAGACAATATTTTCTTATTACCGCATTTGGAATTTTAAAAAAAGAACAAACCAACCATATGATCCATAAGTGAAATGAAAAAGGAAAGCTAAATAATATATTTATTGCACTGTGGAAATATCATGGCAAAGGTGACCTTTCAACTCCTTTGAAGTGCTTCATTGGCCTGGGCAAAGCCAGGCAGTCTGGTTGTTGTAGGTGAAGTGGTTTCTTTTATTTTGTTTCTTACCTTATAACCCCTGTTGTTATTAAAATTAATCCATGTACCCAAGGATACTACTTGACAAGAAAAATCACTGCAAATAAAGAGCACTTGATCTATTTCAAAGGTTGTGATTAGGAAGATTATTAGAAGAGAAGCACTAACTTCTGCAAGGCATTTTCCAGGGCCTCCTTTTCATAATTGGCTTCCTGGAGCTGAGAGAGAACTTTTGCCAGGAATTCCTCAAAGCTGGAAAGTAAATGAGGTTCATCCTTCCTCAGGTGCAACCAAAGTTTCTTTATAGTACTCTCACTGAGGAAACAAAAAAGGAGAAAGACTTGTAAATAGCAAAGAATCTTCTTTTTAGTACTTTTATGTAGTTTTTCCTTCTATTAAGTTTGATCTTATGTTTGCCTCCTGTATCCCTGGAATTTCAGGGTGTAAAATTCCTTTTTAAAAAATCTTTCATACTTAAAGATAGCCTTCTGAGTCTTTCATTTCATAAAGTACTGGCTTGGGAGAGGGTGGAATATCGGTAGAATTGTAAAGGAGGACTTCAGTAGCTGACCTCTGCTGGTCTTCTGCTATGTATTTTACTGGGGATTTAAGCAAATTCCAGCTCTCACCGATTCTCTCCTGTCCTGACCTATTCTGTTCTATTCATAAGATTGGCTTCAGAATGAGTGCATTAGAAACAGCTAAGAATGATTTCTGTCAGATCTGGTGAAATCTAAAAATTATTTATTTATTTAAAATATGTTTACACCACCTTTCTCCTTACAACAGTTAAAAGAAAATATTTAAAAGCTTAAAACATTGAATGTACAAATATTTTAAAAGGATTAAACAAGTATTATATTTTAAGTGGTCAATAAAAAACACATTTAAAAACATCAGAACACAATTGATACCTCCCCCACCTCAGCAAGAATCAGAAAAGTCTTGACTGAAAATAAACAGCAACAGTTACACCTCTGATGAAGTCATACCAGTTCTGAGTGTCAAACCTGGTATTAAGGGGAATTAGGTCATTTCGTTTTCCCTCCCACAAGAAGATGTCTTCAGGATTATTTGCCTCAGCAATCAGAATTCTGAGCTATATTTGAGGAGTAGTGAAGGTCAGTTACTATCCACCTGTGTGACAGTAGCTGGCAACATGAATGACAGAACTGACACAAACAAAATCGCTGAAGATGCAAGTGGAAGTTAAAAGTACATGATCCATTTCAAAGACCATAAAAGCAATTTACAATTCATCCTGTCAAAAGCAGCCTCACAAGACACAGGTTTTGAAAATGCAAAGGCAGAACATATTCCAGCTCACTGAAACCTAGTTTGCCTGAGGCCCATTCCTATCAGTTTATGAGTGAAACTGTAGGAAGCTAGCCAGCACTAGAAATTTCCCATATCAACAATCTGGAGACAATTTCTCCTGTATTTGGATTTTCTGCATTCACAGTTTTATGCATTCACAACTTTATAAAGTTGAGGTACTGCCGAGTTTAATGATATCTGAGGTGAGACACTCCAGTTCATTTTACATTCAAATTATGAGAAATGTTGAGGGAGACAAAAAAAACTAGAGGAAACAAATCAGATGAATCACTGCTGCAATGGGACCCTTCAAGTTTGTCTCTTAGTTCAGAGCCTTGCACATGTGGATTTGTGTACTCGACTCTTACATGTGGGAGCTGCAGGCTGTGGAAGCTTACACTCGATAAAACCTTTTCATTTTTAACAAGGGTGTGTGTGCAAATTCTCCCCCGTCTAAAAGGAAGAAAGAAAGGCCACCCCTCTTCAAACTGGGGGTACCTACTACCACTCCAAAGCTTCACCGAGGAGAAGGAAAGGAGGTAGGCGGTAAAGTGAACACCAAGGCAGGACTAGCATCCCCACATGCTAGTCCTGAAGAAGAGGCAGAGCAAATATTGCCCCAGGAAGGTCCTTGCTGCCCCACAACATCTTTCTAGCATGACTGCCTTTGGTGCAGCTAATTTAAAAATGACTGACTCTAAAGGGGGGATGTGTTTTGGGAATGAAAGCGTGTGTAAAGGGTGGCTCAAAAAGCCACCAAAACAAATGAACAAAACTTCAAAAACAAACAAAAAGAGCCCCTATCCTATTTAAGGCTCTGCTCCACCAGCAGGCTGAAACTGTGTAATCCACAAAGTACAGTTTTCATATCATTCTCTTGGTTTTCTAGCATACTGATGACATTACTTACTCTTCTAATATCGTGCTAGATCCAAGGCTTTCCAAAAGATTTGAAAACTGATCTTCCTCATCACCTTCCAAGTTGCTTTCTTCCCAGTTAGGCTGATGCACATTTTCAGTTTCACACCATTGAAGCTCAGAAATAGATTTCTTTTGTCCAAACAAAAACTGGCCTGCAGATTTCAAAATATCTGATTCAGTATAAAATATTTAAAACTCAAAAGAATTTCAAGAAAATTGCCTTTCTGCAGAGAAATGAAAGAGGATCTCAGAACATGTACACATATAACAGTGCCCGGTGACTGGTCTCAGAACCTCTGATGCCATAAGCATTCAAATAATATAGCTAGAGGGACCTTTAGGCCATGGATTCAACCCCATGCAGTCAATGAAAGTGAGCTAAAGCATTGGTTCTCCAGATGTGGCTGCCCTGTCTTTCCCAGAAAACCTCCAGGAAGGGACTTTTAAAAATCTGCTCCATTTAATTTTTGTAACAACACTTGTTTGGACTTATTAGCTTTTTGTTGCATATGCTACATTGAAAAGATATGTTGCCGTATAAATGGCAACTATTAGTTTTACTTCTTATAGATGTCTTCAGTTGCAGCTTTTCTAAAATAGGCAGAAGGTGGTTCAGAATGAAACATAAAAATAATTTATGTTAAAATAATTTAAGACATAATTTAATCAACAAATCCAATAAAACAGTTGCTTAAAACTGGTATAGCAGGTGAAAGGCAGTCAAAATCTCAGTATTGCACAGAGTCTATTTAGTTTCTAAAAACAAGAATGGTATCAGATACCTGTATTTGCCACGGATGTTTCATACTTCAGTGTCATCTCCAGACACCTAACTTTGGGAGTACAAGCTGAACATTTATTTCAGTGTTCGTAAAAATGGTACTCTTTGCCATATAAGTGTAAGCAAATATATATGTAAGATGGTGATTACTGTTGAAAATATAAGCTACAGCTCAAATTCTTATATAATTCTGAAGTTGCTCTTCCATTAGACAATTTTGGGAACTACATAGATTGCAAAATGAATGGGTATTGTATATGAGACCACCAAATTACAGTTACTTGACTATTTAACTCACTAGATTGAAAAGCAGAAAAGAAAGTGGTGTCAGTGGTGAGAATATTCTATAAACCACTTCTTTAAGTCAAGAACTGTATGATAACTAACTTGCTGTCTTTGAAGAAAGGATTTGGTTATGAGGTTGTTGCTATGGTAAACTTTACTAATATTTTATTGATCTCAGAAGGAAAGCAGCACATTGAAGAACAGGGTGTATTTATTATGAATTATAATGACAATATAACTTTGATTCTTATATTTGATTATCACTATTAGCTCTGTAAACTTTTCTCTCAGAAAATGGAAAAAAAAACTTTGCTGCTCAGGTTCAAGGAACCATCTTCAAACTCTGACATGTGCTAGGTTAAGAATAAAAAGGTTACCTACCTGTAACCATAGTGGTCCTTTGTGAATTCACACAAATGGGTTGTTCTGTGCCTGCGCTGAATGTCTCGAAAGATTTTAGAGCTTAAAAGTACAAAGTTAGTGGGACATCCCCTGTGGAGCACATGCTCCACCCACCAAAGATTCCCCTCAGTTCCTAGAATTTGTCTGCCGGGCAGAAGAATCATTTAATATAAGCCGTGATGGACAGGGGAGAGGATGGGTGGGATGTGTGAATTCACAGAGGACCACTAGAAGAACTATGATTACAGGTAGGTAACCTCTTTTTCTTCTTCGTGGCCTCTGTGAATGCACACAAATGGATGACTGGCAAGCTTCACTTACCGGATGGTGGGACGTCACAGTAGGAAGGATGCCAAATCCAGCATCATTGCATGCTCTCATATCTAGGCAGTAATGGCTGACAAAGGTCAATGGGGTTGACCATGTTGCAGCACAAGAGATGTTAGGAATCTTGATTCCACACTGGAAGGCAGTAGATGTTGACAGCGCTCTAGTGGAATGTGCAAATGGTCAGGAGGTGGTTTGCCTGGTAGTTCATATGCCAGAGAAATAGTTTGGACTATCCATCTGGAAATGGATTGTGATGAGGCTGGGCCTCCCTTGTGAGGTCCATGGAAACATATGAAAAGTCTGTTAGTTTTCCTGAAAGCCTTAGCTCTGTCAATATAAAATGCAAGAGAGTGTCTTACGTCTAGCATGTGGAGCATTTGCTCTAGAGAGATTGTTGGTGATATAATTGGTTGATTTAAATGAAATTCTGATACAATCTTGGGTAGAAAAGAGACATCAAAATACAAAGTCACCTTGTCTGGATGAAATTGGATAAAGGGTGGATCAGAACGAAGAGCAGCAAGCTCACTGGCTCTTTTAGCAGATGTTATAGCCACCAGAAAAGATGTCTTTAGAGAAAGCAACCTAAGATTTGAAGAGGACATTGGTTTGAATGGTGGGCGCATGAGAGCATTAAGGACAATTTGTAGTGACCATTGGGGAATAACACATTGATGTGATGGACGGATGTTATTGAGTCCTTTGAGGAATTTTTTAATTTTAGGGTGAGATAAAACTTTTGCTCACATGGAGTTATCTGGTTGATGGGCAATGATGGCTGATATATGGACTTTTAAAGTGGAATGAGAGAGTCCAAATTCAAAGAGACGGGGTAAGAAGGTAAGTAGTGTCTTCAAGGAAACAGGTATTGCAGGTAAGTTATTTATTTCTGTATAATTAAGAAAGGCTTTCCACTTATTTGCATATAGAAGCTGAGTTGATGGTATTCACGCTCAATCCAAGATGTGTTTCAAGGTGGGAGTATCCTCCAAGCTGTCAAGTTTAACGATGGAAGGTCTGGATGGTAGACCATCCCGTCGTTCTGAGTTAGGAGATCAGGAACCGGAGAGAGTCTAAACGAGTCCGTTGACATCGACCTGAGGTGAGTGAACCACGGTTGCCTCAGCTACCAGGGAGCAAAGAGGACTGCATTCAATTGAAAGTGTCAGAGGTGGATAATTGTCTGTTGTATGAGTAGTATTGGTGGGAATAGATAAAGTAATTCCCTGTTCGAATCTGTCATGAACGCATCCCCGATGGAGTTCTCGTCTGCTCCGGCTCGAGAGCAATAGACACCGCATTTGTCATCCACACTTGAAGCGAAGACATTGATAGTAGGTACTCTTCAACTGTGACAGTGTTGATCGAAAATGGTATCCTTGAGGGACCACTCATAAGTCCTTGATGTCATACGGCTGAGATGATCTGCTATGTAATTGTCGTCTGAGGAAATATGTACTGCAATAGGGAAGATGTGATGTTGGTAACACCATTCCCACAGGTCGATGGCTAGGTACAAGAGGGATAAAGAATGTGTTCTTCCCTGTTTGTTTACATAATATAGGGCAGTTGTATTGTCCATTGCCAGTTGCACCACTCGACCCTCGATGATTGGAAGAAAGACATGAAAAGCTCTGGTGATCACTAAGAGCTCGAGATGGTTAATATGAAGTGATTGTTCTTGTCTCGTCCATAGGCCATGATGAAGATAATGTGCTCCCCAGCTGGATGGGCTGGAGTCGGTGGTGACCTGCACCATCAGATAGATGAGCAGGAATGGTCATCCGAGACGGAGGTTTGACATTGATGTGAGTTGATTGGCTAACTCTGGTGTCACAGTCAATTTCATGGATGGGTGGTCTATCACCGGGTTGAATAGTGGCAGGTACCATGACTGGAGCAACTTCATTTTGAGTTGGGCATTCTGGATTGCCGAGGTTGTGGACACCATGAGCCTGAAGAGGTGTTGAACATGATGGGCTGGAATGGAAGTTTGAGATTGAAAGGGGCAAATGTCCTTCTTTAACTTTATAACTTGTTTCAGGGGGATGAAGGCCCTGGCTTGCAAAGAGTTGAAGAGGGCTCCGATGTAGGTGACTGTCTGTGCTGGTTCAAGATGAGATTTTGTATAGTTTACTTTGAGTATGAGGTTCTGATGTGTGTCGAGTGTGATGGTTGTAGCTCTCATGCCGTTTTGGTACGACGTCGTAACTATCAGCCAGTCATATATGCATGGGTAGATGTTTACATCCTGAAGGCAGAGATGCTCAGCGACTGGTGCCATGCACTCCGTGAAAGTCCTTGGCATCGTGGAAAGTCTGAATGGTAGGGAACCAAATCGGTACATGATGTTGTCGAATTGGAATCTGAGAAATTTGTGATGAGGTGGATGGATCAAAATATAGAAGTAAGTGTCCTGTGGACTGATCACAACAAACCATTCTCCCCTTTATCTGGGGTTTTCGAAAAGGCTGGCATTGATGGGACTGGTTTTGATTCTGAAAGGATGATGTTGATGGTGGTGGACCTTGAAAGGACCTGTCAACTGGTTGTGATCTGAATTATTGATATGGCTGGAATCTCTGATACAATTTTTGTTGAAATTGTGGATAGAATTGCGTCTGTCTGTATTGAGGTCGTTGGTATCAAAGGGATTGCTGGTTGGTGTATGATCTTGCTGTTTTCTGTATTTTATGTTTTCCATAGTCTCGTCTGTTAAAGATTAAAGAGACTGTGACAATCTCCCCACGTCACTCATGCCATTCATAGTGATGAGCTAATTTGCATGAGCCTATGAGAGAACTGGAGAGGCGGTGTCAGCTGCTACTTAAGGTTTGGCAGCAGAAGGAGATAGTCAGAGAGATATACAGATAGAGAGAAAGATAAGGGACTGGTTAGTCAGAGAGAGAAGGAACAGATACCAATAGAGATAAAGCTGGTTAAGATAAATAGATAGAGAAGGTGGTAATTATATGGCAAGAGAAAAGTATGTATTGAGAGACCTGTTAATGATTTGCTAGTGTACCATGTTCATCTGAAGAACTTCTGTGATTATTAAATTGGCTTCATTTCAATAAATAAGTTCTGTTTGCATTCACAAGACAAGTGTTTTTGACAAACTTCATTTATATTGTGGATTGAGGTAATCCACTGGTGGCAGTGAGAGGAAAACACGACTGGAGCCTTTGTGAGGGCACAAGATGTAGGTGCCACAAAGGGTGAACATCACAGAGACCTGTGCCGCTGAAGGGAAGGTCTTCTATCCTTGACTTGGAGTCATCAGACAGTCTGGTGGATCCAAGCCAGGCATGTCAGTGCAATACTATCGAGGATGCTAGGGTTTTCGATGCCGCGTTGGCCACATGTCTAGCAGCAATCCTTTGTTGTTTTGCCAGCAAGGTGGCCTTGGTATGGGCATTAATCAGTTCAGTTTTGATTGATTCCGGTGTGGATTCCAGTAGCAGGAGAATTTTCTTCCAAAGTTGGCGCTGATAAGCGCCCATTGCCACTTGATAGTTGGCGACTCTAAGTGAAAAGGATTGGAGTGAATAAATTCTTCTACCGATGATGTCAATTTTCTGACCCTTCTTATAGTAGGGGCCACTGAAGACTTATTTCTGGCTCTGGACTGGTTCGACTCAACAATTATAGAATTGGGAGTAGGATGTTTGGTCAAAAACTGTGTCCGTTCCATGTGTCTTGTACAAGTTTTCCAGTTTGTCTTGAGATTTGTAGGGTAGATGGTGGGTTGTCCCATGCTTCCTTGATTAGTTTCAACATTGATGGAATAAAAGTAAGACTAAGTGGAGGTGTCCTTTCTTGATTGATGTCGTCGAAGATTAGATCTGCCTCAGCTGATGGAGGTTCTTCGACATGTAGGGATTTAGCCATTCTGGATATCATATGTGAATAAGAAGTGAAATCCTCTGAAGGAGATGGAGGATGATTATCGATAGCATCTAAGGTTGGTGTAGGGAGGTCGGATGGTGATTCTTCAGATGATTTGGATTCTAGTTCTTGGTCAGAGCCTTGAACCTTTTTTGTTCATGGCCGTCTCCCAAAGGTGAGATCGGAGTCTTTGGAGCCTTTGCTTAAATGCCGGCTTGTTCAATTTTTTCCATGCCGCACAAGAATAGGTTGGTGTTGCTCGCCCAAGCAGAATCTTGGGCGAATCTTTGGTGGGTGGAGCATGTGCTCCACAGGGGACGTCCCACTAACTTTGTACTTTTAAGCTCTAAAATATTCCGAGACATTCAGCGCAGGCGCAGAACAGCCCATTTGTGTGAATTCACAGAGGACACAAAGAAGAATCAGTGTCTTTGTATCTAAATAGTCAGATGTTTTCAAAATTCCTAATTAATCAAGCATAGGTAGCAGTGAGATATAAAGGAATACTGAAGAACCATAATCAGATTCTCCAGACAACTAGCATAACATAGTATCTCAGAGACTGAACTTTAAATCAATTATGTTAACATTGAAGACACACTTACTACAAGGCAATAATGTTAGAAATACTGTAGGTTGACTTGACTATTGAAAAAATTAGAATTAGAGCTCCTTTAGAGAGCTTCCTCACATCATTGCTTCAGATGCATCATTTTTCATGTGAACAGAGTGCCCATAGAGGAGGTAGGGCTAGCACACATTCATCTTATGGCATATAGAGGATGCTTGAATAGGATTTAAGAAACTTATTTCCATTACAGTATTTATTTAATGAATCATTATGCAGGGTAATTTATTAAGAGCATTTCTGAGCTGTGATGTCTCTTTTGAAGCTGCAGAGCAATGTTTACTTGTGAGGGATCTGTTTCTGCTATTGAAATATGTGAGACAATTTTTTACTTATAGGGTATTTCTATCTTACTTTCTGTCAAGGTGCACAAGGCAGTGTATCTGGCTTTCCTCTTTCTCACTAGTAGTGTCCAATATTTATGTTAACTCTTTAATAAATGACCAATGATAAATATGATATCCAAGACAAACCATAGTCCTTACATATATAGATGATACTATTTTATATAGGAATGATTTACATGATTACTCATCTTGCTGGAAACAAGATAACAAAAACCATTGTTTTGGTCTTGTCATGACTGATGTTCAGCTTTTATTGCACTGCCCAGTTAAAGCTAACCAGCTGATAGAACAAGAAAAGCCACAAACTTATCAAGGAAAGAAAAGGGCAAACTAATTGTTTTCACTCATACAAGTAGTTAATATAAGTGGCAAATTCATGACCATGCAACAGAGGAAAGGAAGTCCATTAAATGTTCAGGTTCTTCCACAAATGGAAACTAGAACAATTATTTTCGTAACATTAAGAAATTGATTTAGGAATATAATGAACTCTTTCCTTTGTTGAAGCAAATGAGATAAAAAGACTACACACTCATACACATTCACATCTTTAAAAAGATGTGAGGCAAAAATTTGCTAGGGTACCTGAATACAGTGGTTTGCTTTGAAAGGGGATTTGGAAATACAGTATCTTAAAATTAATATCTGAACCACTTTTTACCTTCTCAAGTAGCATGTTTTGCTTTATTAAAGTAGTACTGTTTAATTAGATTTCCATTTATTACTATTATTATTAGGTGTGTTTTATCAAGAAAGTTTTATGTTGTATTTTGTGATGGCCACAGCTTAATTATGTAAGCCACAGATATTAATGTTGTTACTTTAAAATTCATATGGTCTCCTCTGTCACCAAGATTCATTTAGACAATTTTAAACAGTTGTTTTAAGTATTACTGAGTTACCTCCAAGGAAGCATATATACAAACAATTGCAAGATGATCCCTGACTCATTGTTCCAAGGCTTCTTTACTTTAGGAAAGTTCCATTTGCAAAGATTAAAAAGGTACAAGCTAAGGGTTAATTTGTCTCCTGACTTTTAAAAGTGGCTAGACAGATATAATAGCAAGGGCCACTCAGGTGTCAGGCTAGTGGCAGTTGTGTCTCCCAGTTCCGATCAAGGTGCATGGTAACCAAAGTCAGCCAGGTGAAGATGCAAACCTCCCCACAGAGTAGGAATTATCACTCAGCTGAAAGTTTTCTGAACCCCCATTTGCATTTTAGAACTCACTGAATCCAGTGGTGAATTCCTCTAGAGTAAGTGAACCATTGCCGTCTGCATCCAGAGTATCAAAAACGTTCTCCAGCTCTTGAGGGCTAAGTGGTAACTCACCATGAAGTCTCTGAAATAGCAAAGAATTCATCAGTTATCTAAGTGTCATATATAACTGAACTGTTACATTAAAAAAATTGGGAGAAGACAGTATAGATTTAACACACTCTGATGTTCTTACAATTGATCTAAAATTGTCAGTCCAATCCTGTAACGTCTGCTCAGTCCAACTGAATCTACTAAGACTGAAGTCTATATTTTTATATCTGTACAGATAATTGATCCTTGATTTAGTCATAGTTAGAGTGAATTTAGGAGAGGCAGTGTAATATAATGGGTGGAGTGTTGGACTAGGACTCAGGAGGTCAAGGTCAAGGTTCCCCTTGACATTTAGTCCAGTCATGTCCAAGTCTAGTGTGCAGTGTTCATCCCTGTTTCCAAGCCATAGAGCCAGTGTTTGTCCGTAGATAGTTTCCGTGGTCACGTGGCCAGCGCAACTAGACATGGAATGCCATTACCTTCCCACTGAGGTGGTACCTATTTATCTACTCACATTTACATGCTCACTCCATCACGTTGATTCAATCTTACAATTGCTGGTCTTCTGACCCTGCAGCACAGAGGCTTCTGCAGTTTATTTAACCCACAGCACCACCATGTCCCCTAAGGGACTCAGGACTAAGGACACAGGAGACCTGGATTCAAATCCCCACTCAGCATTCAAAGTCACTGAGAAAAGAGCAATGGTGAACCACTCTTGAACATCTCTCACAGTCACCATTGGATGGAAGTGATTTGATGGCACATAACAACTGTAGAGACTGATTGAATTCAAGGGAACAAATGAATAGTGGCTAACTAAAGTCCCATTTAATTCAATTAGTCCACTGTAAATATGACATCTGGTGCGAAAAATGGCCTTGATGAACTGATCTGTGTAAAAAAAAAACCAACCCTGTAAGTTCTTCCCAGATAGATACATCTCTGCAGCTCCTTTAACAATGGGTTTTGCACACGTTTAAGGGATTAGGCTTTTCTTAAACTGCTTTATTTTACACTGTCACACTCTATTCTGCTCTGGTGCCTTTGAGAACAAAGAACTAGCCTGACATTTATATCCTAAATATCCTATAACACAAGTGGGAATCAGGCACCTCACAGGTCATCCCTAAGTCAGTTTCTGCAGCCTCCCATGTCTACATACATGACCCAGAGTCTCTACCCATAGAAAAGAAACCAGCCCCAAATGGTTAATCACTGCTCATAGTCCTGCAAGCCTCCAGGGAGACATAATTTCTCTATTGAGAAAGTGACCAAGACTTGATATAATGGACCGGGGGGGGGGAAGGGGTGTTTTATTATTTATTATTTTATTATTTATCCAAAAATTTAAAATTGAACTTCCAGTCACTTCTGATTTTGAAAAAAAACAATACTGGGAAAATCGCTTTTTAAAAGGTGCCATGTTCTATGGAGTGTTTAGAGAGGGTCAGAATTGGCTCTCAGATTCCTAGAACTTACTTGTCCTTGCCCTAGAAATTTAACTACTATGAAAATATTACCATCACCACTCACATCACCAGCACAGAAAGACTGTTCTGCAAGGCACACATCTCTAAAAATAAGCAGAGTGGTTTGTCTGGCTACATTGCCTACTAGGTCTATACAACATCACTGTGATTGAGCCAGAGGGAGCTAGAGCAGAATCGCTAAATGAAATAATAGAGGAGGAGGAGGAAGGGACTTAGTGAATGCTGCAGAAGAACGGGAGGGGAGTGTATCAAGCTGAGGACGTGGATGCTGAGACTTCAGCACCTCCCCAGGAGTAGGACTGTGTAATCAAGGAGGATCCTTGTTACTGAGGTGAGGGTCCCAAAAGGTGAGGGGACCAAACACAAAATCATTGCTCAATCCCTTGTTTTGATTACTGGAGGAAAAGATGTGCCCAGCCACAAATATCAAATAAATTTATTGTCATTGTAAGTATATACATAGTACACCCATACAATGGAAGTCACACAGACACCCAGAGACCAGACCCACGTGCACACACGTAAAAAATCCCCAAACTCTCCCCACCCACTAAAAATCCCCCACTAAGAATACAAACATCTACACCACAGGCTAAGTAACACTGTCCAACTATTCACTACTGGTGGTCTTTAAGCTCATTATTAAGTGCAATCATAGCTCTGGGATAAAAACTATTCAGAAAATGTGGGGTCCGAGTCTTAATTGTTCTATATCTTCTGCCAGACAGCAACAGTTCAAAAAAGTTGTAAGCAGGATGGGAAGAGTCTCTCAGGATGTTGTGTGACTTCTTCAGCCAGCGGGATGTGAAGATGTCTTCCAGGGTTGATAGCTGGAGCCTGATGATATTCTGGGCAGTTTTAATGGTTCTCTGTAGAGCTTTTTTGTCTGCTACAGAACTACTCCCAAACCATACCAAAATACCATAAGTTAGGACACTCTCAATGGTGCTATGATAGTAGGACAGAAGTAAATGCTGAGATAAATTTAACTTCCCGAGCATGTATTATAGATAGTAGGTACTGAAATAATGGTAGTTCCTGTTTCCACCTCAAAACAGCTGAAAAATTGATTTAACTGCTCAGCCAAAAAATCACTGCTGCTACACAGACTTTTTGTTACTCTGCCCTGTGATTTTTCGTGGGCCATGCCATACCCGATGAATATCAGAGCTCTCAAGATGTTGCTCAATCCTCCAATTGTACATAGCTTTGGTATCCCTAATGCCCTTTTTCAGCTTAGCTCTGGCCTTTCTATACTGTAGTTCATCACCAGAATGAAAAGCAGCATTTCTGGCTTTTAGTAAAAGGCGCACTTCTCTATTTAGCCAAGGCTTGTTATTAGAAAATACTCGTACAGTACTTGTCTGGTGGTAGTAACAACATCGATACAGCTTTAGATATAAAACAGTACTGTCAAAGTATAAGTATCAACATTGTCCTCCTCAAACAGTGCCCAATCAGTGCTCCTAAAGCAATCTTGAAGTTGCTCAGCTGCACCCACTGGCCACACTTGTATTTCTCTAGCTGGTGGTCTGATTCTATTAACAAGAGGTCTGTATGATGGAATCAAAAACAGAGATATATGATCTGACTGTCCCAAAGTAGGCAATGGCTTTATCTTATATCCATGCATGATGTTACTATATACCTGATCCAAGGTATTCTTCCATCTAGTGGAACAGTCTAGATACTCTAAATCCCTAGGGAGAACTCAGGAGGAGAGCCTATCCCAATGCTGGATAGGGCAGTACCTGAAGGGACCCCTACGTCATCAACAGGAGGAACTGTAAGAGGAGTCAGAGGGAGCTGCAGGCTGAGGAGAAGGGCCCCTGTGTGCCCTGTCTTCATTGAAGTCCTACCGACTCCAGTGTCCCTGTGCCTGACGCATCAGAGGCCAGTGAGACTCCCCACTGAGAAGAACTAGTGCAGTAAACTGGGGGGGATAGCAAAGAGGAGGGCTGAGCCAGGGCTAGTGGAGTCAACTAGCCTTGGGGCTGGACTGTTGATTGTTGATCCCCCTCCCAAGTTTCAATAAACCCCACTGTGTCTGTAGAAGCTGGTATAGACTCCATGGATCTGGGGATGGAGGAGAGGCCACCTGTGATCCAGGGAGGGACTGGAGAAGCTTGCAAGAAGACAGAGCAAAATTAAAATTCCCCTATATTAAAATATATTAGAGTCAATAATGCTGAAGACGAGGCTGCCATTGTCTGCTTCTAATATAGAATGGAATCTGCTAAGAGAAATTACCTTTGATCATATTTGATTTTAAGGTGTGGGAGAAGGTGCAACTCTGATTATAGTGTGAATATAATTTGCCCAAGTATGTAAACATCTTCTTTAACTTTACTGATGTTTATATTTTCTGATGAGGCAAAAAAGAAAGAAGGTCCCTTATGCAGAGTGATGCATGAAGCATTATGAATTCCAAGTGAATCCAACACATGGCATGCTTCTTTAAAATGTCAGTTTCTTTCATTGTTTTTCATCCCAAATAATGATGAGTTGTGAAAAAATTATATGCATATTTATTTTTTTCTTTCCTGCTACTGGAGAAAATGACACTGACTTGAAGTGCTGCAAAAATGAGGCAGGGTGTCCAAAGAAACATTCACTCCTCTTTATGTCTCCTATTTATCATGCGGAGTGGAGGTCATCATGGGTACCTCTCACTCATGGCCCACTGGGGGTAGCTGGAGGACCTGAGAAGTGTCAGGGCATTGGCGATAGAACCAACGTGGAGGCCTTTGTCCTGCCATCAGGCTACAGGTCCATTTCTGCTGCAGATGCTGCACATGGAGGCTCAGGCAGCCAGGAGGAACATTGCCAATGAGTTCCTGGGTTCCGCACTGCAACGGGGGGCACAGGAGGGTGAGGTCATCTGTGGCCACATGGTCACAGATGCTAGGTGGAACATGTTGGTGGCATTGAATATAGTGGGCCTCGAGGGCATAGTGTGCATGGTGCACAAGTTACACCTTGTGTGTCATGCCATTGACTTGGGGAGCTACATCAAGCCCATGTGGGATGCAGGCGCCTGGGAGATGCGGGCACTTCTGGAACAATGGCACCAACTGGTGGGCCATTTCTCATACAGCCTGAAAACTGCCCATTGGCTGTGTGAGAAGCAGGAGTAGTTAGGGCAGGAGATACATGCCAACCAGGTGGAATACTACTTACACCATATGTCCCGCCTGGTTGGGCAATTCTGAAGGACATTCTGCCTGGGGGAAGGGAGATGGGCATCAGTGCAAAGGATTGGCTGGCCCTCTCCCAGAGGGTGGAGAAACTCAAGCTCTTCCAATAGAAGAAAGAAGCCTGCATCAATGTCCCACTCCCCACCATTCATTCCTATAACCCAGGGAAAAGAAGACTTCTGCCTGCCACCCCCCCAAGTAACCCAGGGGGAAGGAGGAGGAGGAGGAGGAGACTGTCTGCTAGCCCCATGGCTAACCCAGGGGAAGAAGAAAAAGAATCCTGCCCATCAGCCAATCACCAGCCCCTCAAACACCATCCAGGCCACATATTTGTTCCATGT